TTGTTGTTGTTGCGGCTGTTGTTGTAGAGAAAATATACAAAACTCATAAATAGGTGAAATTAGGCAAAACAGAACTGAACTGAAATATATGCACGGCAAAAACTTATTCCAATTTATAAAACAACAACAACATGAATACGCAAAAAATAAAATACCCACCTTTTTTCTGTTATTTTTTTGGTATCCAAATAGAGTCGGGTACAGGGTTCACACGCACCTCCAACAAACAATAGGAATAGATGGATATTTTCTTATTGGAAACCCCCGAAAAAATAAAAAAGAATGAAGTTGTTAATCCGTTACGTTGAAATGCCACAGAAGAGGGGAGCTGGCTGGCTGGTAGGCTGGATGACTGTTGTTTTTTCGATTTTATGTTTTATTTAACTATTCACACTTCCCAACTACCGAACCGAACAACAGAAAAAACTACGTTGGGATTTTTGTTTTACTACAAAGTAAACGCCACTGCATACCGACCGACCGAGCTTTTTTTTTTTTTGATTTCTCAAGGTGGAGTTGTGAAGGGATTTTTTTCTGCTTCTTCTGAACTTTTGTAACTGGGTTTTGAATTTACTTTATGATTACACAATAGCAGCAATAACAACAACACTAAGGCCGAAACAACTGGAACAACACAAACATCGGCATACTATTTAGATTGCTTCACACAACACCAAAAATAAAAAAATTAACACTTCAAATTTGTATTATTTTTTATTTTCCTTCATTTCACTTAATCATCATAATTTGTTCATGGCTGTGAACTCTTTTTTAGACTTCTTTATAATTTTCTTTCACTTTAATTTTTTTAGGGAAATTTACTTTTTTTATTTTTTATATTTTTTTGTTAATATATTTTTGTATTACTCTTGTTCTTCTCGTTTGTGTTTTCTTTGGTTGAAATCATCTGCATAAAGGACCATCAACATATCATCAGCAACGATTGCCGTTGACGTCTCAGAGAAACTAACCGCGCTTATGACTTCACTTCACCTCAGCCGCAAAACAACAACTGTTTTGCTAGCAGTCAGTGGCTTTCTTGCCTTCTGAAATATTATTTTGTTTAAAAACGTCTCTCAGAGTCGCCGTCATCAGTTGTTGTTATTTTTGTTTGCTGTTATTGTTGTTTTTTTCCTGTTCGTTCTGTGGAAATGAGTTAGTTGCTCGTTTTATTCGTCTTCGTCTTGAATTAAACATATGTTGCTGTTATTGTTGGGGCTGTTTTGTGTTTGTGCATGATTTAAGGTGAGCACGCGCTCCAATGACAACCATCCAACCAACAACAACAGCAATTGACAATGGGAAAAAGTAACCGTAATAAAATACATTTGAAGTTTGGTGGCTCTCTTGCTCTCGCTACAACAATCACCAACAGTCAAATACAATAACAACAATTAACTTACAACTTCAAAACAACACAACTGTGTAATACAACTTTTCCTTTGAATTACTACAATAATAAAAAGAAAAAAAGAAAATAATAAAAAGTAACACAACACTTTCTCTTGCTCTTTCTCTCTCTGTGATACGCATGTTTACTCTCGCTCATCATTATTGCTATTTTCTTGCAAATGCACGCTCTCCCCATTCTCAAAGACATTTGGATTTTCACAGTTTACTCCTACTGGAGGAGTGTGAACTAATAAATGTGAATATCTAGAGGGGGAAATTTCAAACTATTAGAAAGTTGGAAAAACTTTGAATATATTATTATATAATATTTATAACTAATCATATATAATTATGCAAAACTTTTTTGCATAAAACAATTTAATGATAATGTATTAGAGTTAAGTAAATTGTTAGTTGCCGCTTGCTCTCAGTCTCTCTCTCCCTTTCTTGTTTGCAAAGGGATAGGATATATCCCAAGGGATTTTTGAGCAAAGTTCACACCATTCACTGAACTCAATTAACACTAAAAACAACAACATCAAAAAAATAGAAATTAGGCCAAAATAGTAAATACACCATTTGGGAATTTGGCGGGAATATTAATGGCCGCAATAACCTTAAAACTTTAGTAATATGTAACAATCGGATTGTGAATCAGGAAATGAAGTACAAATCTTTTTGAGGAAGATTTATTATTAAAAAAAAAATTAAATATAAAAAATTAAAAAAGATATTAACTGATACGCGTCACTTCTATCCTGAGAGAAGGCGACAGTTTGTATATTTACAATACGAAACTATTGTTGCTGGATACGTTTTGAAGGATAAAAGAAGACTGCTCAAAATGTACAAGAATAATTAACTTAAATACATAGCCAGATCGAGACAACATATGTTCCATAAGCAGAACTTAAAAAAGATTTCAAGGCGCTTCTATCTTGTGTGCAGCTTTTCCAATTTGAGAGACCATACCTTGATATGCCATCCTCCACTTGATTTTTCTATCGAATCTGTAGCATTCCCCTTCTGCGTGAGCCATCGTTAGGATCGCTTTAGTATGCCTTTTGAACTGGGGCATCTCATCCATTCGTTCAACACGACCTAGCCACCGTAGACGCTGGAACTCAATACTAGTCATACTACCATCTACGATGTCCGTGTTATTTTACTTACTTAGCTGGCTTATGACAGAACGGTTGTTCCATAAGCCGAACTTAAAAAAGATTTCCAGGCGCTTCGATCTTGTGCACAGCTCTTCTAATTTGAAAGACCATGATTTGATATGTCATCCTATGTTTGATCTTTCCATCGAATTCGTTGTCTTCCCCTTTTGCGTGAACCATCAGTAGGCTTGCTTTTATATGCCTTTTGGGCTGGGCATCCTCATCCATGCCATCAACATGACATGAATGCGACTATCTTCCACAACTATTTCTATCCCCAAGGCGTCACTCCGCAATAGTTTTTGCTTGCAGAGTTGTGTCTGTACGCTTTTACCGTAACATTTACTGCAGAGGTAAGGTTAACATTCAGAATGATGTTTGGCAGGTGTAGCCGAAAGATGTTATACAACAACTACGTATCTGATCTGCCAAAATCTACTCCATTATCATACGACGATGGTAACGTAACAAGGTCCACTTACTCGTACGGTGGAAGCACAGCTGAATGATTATCTGACGGCTCTATACACGTTATGGGGTCTGAAGTTAAACGGTGAAAATAAACTATTTATTTGACCAAGTTTTAGAACCTACCGTTTTATCCAACAAATTTGTTTTAATATTTGGTCTGTTCCAGTTCTTTTTTAATAGTAAATCTAGTAAAAGGAAATAATATTAAAATCACTCTCAGAGTACAAAATAATTAGAAAAGTTCGGGAACGTAAATCTAGTAAATATTTCAAAATGAAATAACATTACTTCAAAATCAACACAACAGCCAATCAGAAGTAGGCATTCCAATTTACCATTTTTACTCGGCAAAATTTCTCAAGTAAAAACTTTGTTTTGTGTTCTCTCTTCTTCTATTTACCTGTAAAATTAGTAGAATCTTTCAGGTTCTGGAACAGAATTATTGTGTAGGTGAAAGACAGGATAAAATAACTGGGAATCACTTTTCATCACAAAATTCATTTTAACAAATTAGTCTTAATAATGAGGAGGTGAATGACAGGATTCTTTATTCTGGGAATAATTTTTTGTCAGAACTTTGATTTTAACATGCATATAGACTTTTATCCTGGCTAGAGCAAAGAAGGTCTTCTTCAACTATCATAGCTTGTTGAAAAGGAAGTCCCGAAGTAACGCTGCTGATATATCGACAGATTGTCTGCCGTTAATTGCCCTGTCCAGATGAAATCTCTAGAAAGGCTTAGGAAATGGGGGAACAAAGATTTTGGCTACTTGTGTAGGCTTAAGTGGACAAACTTTTAGACAAGACGAAACGATTAGACAGCTTTTAAACAGATCCATCTATGATATAGCAGAAGGCGAAAGAAATGACGGAGTTCTGCTTTCGTGTGCCAGGTAGTTCCAGAGTAGAAGTAATGGACTTCGGGCCGAGTGACGGACTCTTCGTTGCGAGAATTCATAGTCAAGATGATACTGTACCTAACTCCAGGTGGATTTTCGCAGCTGATAGCAGAAGATTTGCTGTACAACAACGGGCAGTGAACTATCAGACGACATTTGAATAGAGCCATCTATGACAGGGTCCTGGTGGAGGATATCTTGCGATATCGGCGCGGGAGGACTCAGAAACAGCCGATACCTGCCTCTAGGTGCACTTTCGCAGTTTATGGCAGAAGATTTGCTGTACATCAACGTGGAGTTGCTGAACTATCATATGCGTCACAAAGTAGTCTGCAGAAGTATTGAGGGCTATCGTCCGATCCAACAAACTGGTCTTAATGCCCTAATGGCGAAGGACAAGATAAAGTACCTGGGAATATTTTTTTTATCAGAAATTTCATTTAAACAGGCATTTTATCCTGTCTTGAGCAAAAAGGTGTTCTTCAGCCATCATACATTGTTATTTAATCAGTCATCTGTGATTGGGCAGGAGGCGATAGAATTTACAGGGTCCTGGTCACAGAAGCACTAAAATTCTTATGTAGGATCGGACTGGAGAATGCAGCGGTGGAGGATGCTTTTTGTTGCTATATCGGGAAGATTCAGACCAAGATTATAAACGATTGTGCCCATTTTATCTTATTACCGTGGATAACGGTAAAAAAGTTAAAGAATATTTTTTCCGAAGACACAAAAATGTTTGATATTTAAAGAATATTTTTCCGAAGGGTAGGATTTTTAAAGATTATTTTTCTGAACAAATTTAAGAAAAATTTCCCTTTTTATTTTTGAGAAAAGAAGTTGTATACTCTTACGTCCATTCTATGTGTGGCAATGCTTCTGTTTACAAATTTTGGTATTGCCTTTAAAACAAAAAAAGCTGCAAACGGCATTGCCTACTGTAGCCTCGCTTTTTGCACATGGCAACACCATAACCGTTACCATGACAACAATATAAACAACAATACTTTCCACTTGTCATTTAATTAACTGAGTGGAAAATTTGTTAAAACTTAAACTTTCCATCAAAAAAATATGGACAAGGAATCCTCAAAACCGGAAACCATACAAGATATTGCCTTTAAATTGGCCGAAGAACAACTACAACAACTGCAATTGGATAATGGACCCCGAGAAAGAACTGTCTTCCTGCTCGGTTCTAAAAATGTTGGCAAAACAACAGCCATTAATAGTTTCTTTGAACGTGAGGAATCTCCCCGGCCCACTTTGGCATTAGACTATTCGTATGCACGTAAAACTGGAGCAGTGCAGAAGCAAATTTGTCATATATGGGAATTGGGAGCATTGGATCGCCAATTAGCTGAGGTGCCTCTTAGAAGCCATGGTGCCGAGAATTTATCTTGCATCATAATGTTGGATTTGTCACGACCACAATGGTTGTGGGCTGATCTGAAAGAGGCCTATGAAATTTTAAGGGATTTTTGTGATAAAGTGGTGGATGGTAAGACAGGTGGTGATGATGATGGTGGGGAGAAGGTGAAACAGCGTGTAAAAAAGGATCATGTCGATTTGGCCACATTGAATCTAATGCCTTTCCCGGTGATTATTGTAGGAGGGAAATATGATTTGTTCATTGGATTTGGTAAGTAGTGCGATTTTAGACAAATATTCTAAT